GAATGAAATGGATTTTTCCTCTTTCCCCCTTCCTACATTAAGAAGAAGGAGAAGCAAAACCGAGAAAGGGTTTTCACAGGACAGAACCATGGCAGTTAAAGTGGGAAAATAACACTGTAATTATGTGAATGGGCCATTACTCTTCAGGGATGACATTGGAGAGGATGAACACCTGAAGAGCATGAGGAATCTCTCTATTCTATTATTCTGAATGTTCCTTTCTATCAGGCTATGCAATTGGCCCTCCACGCCCATGCATTCTGTATCCATGGTTTAAGCCAGGGGTCCCCAAACTAAGGCCTGGGGGCCAGATACGACCCTCCAAGGTCTTTTGTCCGGCCCTCGCTCAGGGAAAATTCTGGGTGCCTTGGACCATTAGAAGATCAAACCAGTCCATACTCCAGGAAATAAAGCCCAACTCCACACTGGAAAGAAGGATATTAGAGGCAAAGATGAAGTATTTTGGCCACATAATGAGAAGACAGGAAAGCTAGGAGAAGATAATGATGCCGGGGAAAATGGAAGGAAGAGGGGCTGATCAAGGGCAAGATGGAGGGATGGTATCTTTGAAGTGACTGGTTTGACCTTGAAGGTGCTGGGGATGGCGACGGCCGACAGGGAGCTCTGGCGTGGGCTGGTCCATGAGGTCACAAAGAGTCGGAAATGACTGAATGAATAAACAACAACAAATCCAAACTTTGAGGTCAATGGGTATCCTTCTCCTCATGTCTCATCCTGATGAACATTACAGGATGAGAACTGTAATTCAGTGTTAGCACCCAATTTCCAAAAACGCCCCCCTGAAGAGGTTTTCTATGCATCTTCCTCATATTCTTCCTTATATTTATACAGGGGATAAAGGATGGACAGGGGATGGGGGGGKGGGAGGGGGCTTTTTCACTGTTCATAGAGATATTATATCCTGAAGGCTATTTTGTATTAAATTTGAAATTTTAAGATGCGCCCATGCTATAGGTATTTTCAGTCTTAGGTGATCCCTCATATCTTGACATTGTCTTGGCGGTGGGTTTGTAGGTGGCTGTGGAGCCCTATTCTTGATCCTCATGTTCTCCCGCAGTGAGGACATTGGTTTCCAGGTGGAAGGTGGTCCTGGTCAGGGTAGGCTTGACGTGCCTTCCTCTTGGTACGTTTCTCCTTTTCACCCTCCATTCGTGCCTCTTCGAATTCTGCAGCACTGTTGATCACAGCTGACTTACAGAGCTCAAGAGCCAGGGCTTCCTAGTTCTCGGTATCTATACCACAGTTTTAAGATTGACTTTAAGCCCATCTTTAAATCTCTTTTCATGTCCACCAGCATTACGTTTCCTGTTCTTGAGTTTGGCGTATAGTAACTGTTTTGGAAAGCTGTGATCGGGCATTTGAACAACGTGGCCAGTCCAGTGGAGTTGATGGCATTGGAGCATCGCTTCAATGCTGTATTTTCAGTACTGATTGCTTGTTTGCGGTTGTTTGGAATTTTGAAAAATAACCCTTTTTGAATTGCAATCTCCAAATACCTCCCTTCTCCTTTCTGCCCAATCAGCATGGCCATGCTGTGCCCCCCCCAGCCCTGTTTTTTTCCCTTTCTGCAGTAATTTTTAAATAGTTAAATCATATATTTTATCACTTGTACATAGCTATATATTTAAAAGACTGCTGCTCAAAAAATCTTGGCCAAGAGTCAATATAGATGCACCACGAATAAATTAATAAATAAAAATCATAGCAGTGTGTGCTGGCAAAATACTGCTGATTTCCCCCATTTTCAGCTCTCTCTCTCTCCACTTCCTCCTCCTCCTTCTCAGATATACAAGTTGCTTCTGAGCAAAATGCTTCTTCATCACTTTCAGTGTAAACAGCTCTTGTCAATAAAGCAGTTTCAAGTAGGAAAAGACGTGACATTTGATGTGCTTTGCGATAGTTACAGCTTTTCTTTTTTGGGGAAAAAAGTGATTGGTGGCTTGTGTTCCAAGTTTGACTTTCTTCTTTGGCACTGGGACTTGGTTCTCGGAGGAAGGTTATGAGCGAAGCCAAGTGGATTTATTGGAACCCTTCTGCAGAGAGGTTGAATCCTTGAGTAGCAAGGGATAAAAAAGCCATCTGGTCCCACCTTGGAATCTGGCAAGGATTCCTCCTCCTCCTCCTCCTCCTCATTCTCTTTACCTCTCTCACAACTAAGACTGCTACAGTTGGACATAATACTGTCTTTCAGGAGATTTGTGAAAAAGATGGGCCAGTATGTTGGACATGAAAATTAAAACAGACCATACACTTCATTCAGGGTGGTCCTTGCCATTGGGCATAGTGAGATAGTCAATGCTGGGAGGCAACAACAAGGTCTTGGAGGAGAAATCCATACGATATAGTTTTCCTTGCATCCTCTAAGCTTTTTTGCTCTTTTACGTGTGAGGGAGAAGGTCATCCTCTACAAAAAAGATTCAGCTGCTATTTAGGGCAGCTTTTGTACATGGAACGAGAAGGTCCTATTTAGGGCAGCTTTTTATACATGGAATGAGAAGGTCTGCAATGTCAGGTAGAACAGTATAACCCTGGAACTCGTGGAATTCGTATTTGTTATTTCATAATCTTGATAAAATAGTGAAGAGTAGAGACATCCCGCTGGCAACAAAGATCCACATAGTTAAAGCAATGGCATTCCCCATAGTAACCTATAGATGCAAGAGCTGGACCATAAGGAAGGCTGAGCAAAGGAAGATAGATGCTTTTGAACTGTGGTGCTGGAGAAAAATTCGGAGAGTGCCTTGGACCTCGAGAAGATCCAACCAGACCATACTCCAGGAATTAAAACCCAACTGCTCACTGGAGGGAAGGATATTAGAGGCAAAGATGAAGTACTTTGGCCACATAATGAGTAGACAAGCTTGGAAAAGGGGGGAAATGGAAGGAAAAAGGAAGAGGGGCTGACCAAGGGCAAGATGGATGGATGGATGCTGGAGATCACAAAGAGTTGGAAGAGATTGAACAGATAAACAACAACAACAAAATTTCACTGACCCACATCCCACAAAATACATATTCTAGTAATTTTCTAGGGCCTCCAGGCAATTTTGTGGCATGCTTCTAGTAGAGACCTGTAACAATTTGCTGGGACCTCCAGGTTGACTGGCAAAAGTCATTCATTTCTGTAGGCTTTGTTGGTATCCTTCATTTCCTGTTTTTACAGTAAGTTCAGGAATGCATCCCTTGCAGATATGGGGGCCATACTGTAGAGACAGAAATAACTCTTGAGTCTAGGGAGCTTAAGGGCAGTGCATTCTAGACCACGTTTGGGCAGGTTGCATGTGAGCTGGAGTGCGATTTGGGTGCCCTAACTTTATTTATGGGAGCAATTTTCACTTTAATAATCTCCATATAGTCCATATTCATGCCTCCTTGATTTACTGGAAGTGATGTGACCTCACTTCTGGTTTAATTTTTTTTTTGCCACTATATGAAATAAGCTTGTAGGTGAGGATGTGAAATATTCCACTATGCTGTGGTCTGCCTGAAAGATTTTAGTTTTTGATCCATCAGGTGTTACAGGTACCGGTAGTTAAAATATGAACTCCTATCCTCCACATTGCCAAAAAACCACACACTGCTCCTAGTAGGGAGTCTTTAAGAGGAGGAAGGTAGTAGCTCATAAATACTGATTAAAATTCCTTCCCTGCATGACATCTTTTTATGTCCAGTCCTGGTGACAGTGTAAAATGCTAATACGGGTTGCATTTTTAAATATGGTTACTGAGCCTGAAGGAAAGCTAAAAATAACACGTAGCCATAATTAGAGGACAAAATCACTGAAGAGACAGGGAAGGAGTTGCCCTTTAGTGAGCTGACTGAAGTTCAAAACTTTCTGAGCTTTTAGCATCGCATGGGATGCTTATTTGGGAACAGAACATTACTCTGCAAACTGCATTTCTGGCCAGCCTGTAGTTTGTTATTCAGAAGCTCAGAAGTGGCAATATTTCTGTATGCATAGTGTGGCATTGAATTTTGCAATAATCTTGTAAGCCGCTTGAGTCCACATCAGGGTAAAAAGAGCAGGATATAAATATCTATATACAGTATATTCTGGCGTATAAGACTACTTTTTAACCCAAGAAAATCTTCTCAAAAGTCAGGGGTCGTCTTATACGCGGGTGTAGTCTTATGCATGGGAGTCGTCATAACTCTACATTTTAACTGGAAAAGTTGGGGGTCGTCTTATACGCCCAGTCGTCTTATATGCCGGAATATACGGTAAATAAAAATGTAATGTTCATTTGTGGGATTAACAGAACTCAAAAACCACTGGATGAATTGACACCAAATATGGACACAAGACACCTAACAACCCAATGTATGTCCTTCACTCAAAAAAATGATTTTGTCTTTTGGGAGTTGTAGTTGCTGGGATTTACAGTTGACCTACAATCAAACAGCATTATGAATCCCACCAACGATGGAATTGAACCAAACTTGGAACACAGTTCTCCCATGACGAACGGAAAATACTGGAAGGGTTTGGTGGGCAGTGTCCTTTGGTTTTGGAGTTGTAGTTCACCTACATCCAGAGGGCACTGTGGACTCAAACAATGATGGATCTGGACCAAACTCTACACGAATATTCAATATGCCCAAATGTGAAAACTGGTGGAGTTTGGGGAAAATAGAATCTTGACATTTGGGAGTTGTAGTTGCTGGGATTTATAGTTCACCTACAATCACAGAGCATTCTGAACCCCACCAAGGATGGAATTGGGCCAAACCTCCCACACAGAACCCCCATGATCACCAGAGTGGGCCACAGCAACACGTGGCAGGGAACGGCTAGTAGTAAGTAAATACATTATCCTTGAATGCAAGCTATCCAACAGTAGAAGTCCTGCTTATAATCTATAGCTGCAGCTTGTGCTTCTATCCTTTATTTCAAGCTCATAGATGCAAGGGTTTAATAAAAAGCTTTCTGAACATCTCATTCTTCTTTCTCTCTTGTGTTACTCTTTTTCTTTTTATAGGTTCATAGCCAAAAATATCATGCGGCTGCAGCGCCTGGGTATCACCCACATCCTGAACGCAGCAGAGGGCAAGTCTTTCATGCACGTGAACACAAATGCTGAATTCTATGAAGGAACTGGCATCACGTACCATGGCATCAAGGCCAATGACACTCAGGAGTTCAACCTTAGCCGCTACTTTGAGGAAGCTGCGGACTTCATTGAAAAGGCACTTGCGCACAAAGATGGTGAGATACTCAGGGCACTCCGCGCGCCTGTTTCTCCTCTATAGATTGAGTATTCTTTATCCAAAATGCTTGAGACCAGAACTGATATAGATTTTGGACTTCTGTAATACCTATATTTGCATATACAATCATAATAAGATGTCTTGATGATGATACCGAAGTCTAAACACCAAATTCATTTATGTTTCTTAAACACATAACCTGAAGGTAATTTTATGCAATGTTTATAATGCAGTCAATTCACCACATTTGTGGCTTTGCCTTTTGTGGATTTGATTATTCACAGAGTTGATCAAAAATATTATCTCTAGGAATTTTAGATTCTCTAGTGCAGGGGTCCCAAACTAAGGCCTGCGGGCCGACTGTGGCCATCCAAGGTCATTTACCTAGCTCCATCCTAAACTTTAGACTTAGGGTCAGCCTAAGTCTGAAACAACTTGTAGGCACTGTGTAGTTGTAAGTACTTTGGGCTGTATGGCCATGTTTCAGAAGCATTATTTCCTGACATTTCGCCTGCAGCTATGGGAGGTGTCCTCAGAGGTTGTGGAATATCCAGAGTGGGAAAAAGAACTCATGCCTGGTGTGAATGTTTTAATTGGCCACCTTAATTGGTCACCTTGATTAGCATTTAATGGCCTAGCAGTTTTCAAGGTCTGGCTTCTTGCTGCATGGGGGAATCCTTTGTTGAGAGGTGATTAGCTGTCCCGAATTATTTCTTGTCTGGAGTTCCTCCTTTTTAAATGTTGTTCTTTATTTACGGTTATGATTTTAGAGTTTTTTAATGCTGATAGCTAGATTTTGTTCATTTTTATGGTTTCTTCCTTTCTGTTGAAATTGTCCACATGCTCATGGATTTCAGTGGCTTCTCTATGGAGTTGTTAGTTGTTAGAGTAGTCCAGCATTTTTGTGTTCTCAAATAATATGCTGTGTCCAGGTTGGTTCATCGGGCCCTCTGTTATGGCTGACTTCTCTGGTTGAAGTAATCTCCAGTGCCTTTCATGTTCCTTGATTCGAGTTTGTGCAATGCTTCGTTTGGTGGTCCCTATGTATACTTGTCCCCAGCTGAATGGTATACGGTAGACTCCTGAACAGGTGAGAGGATCTCTCTTGTCCTTTGCAGAACTTAGCATTTGTTGGGTTTTCTTAATGGGTCTGTAGATAGTTTGTAGGTTGTGTTTCTTCATCAGATTCCCTATTTGGTTCCCTTGATGTATGGTAAGAACACTTTTCCTCTGGGTGGATCTTTGTCATTACTCTCATGGCTTGTTCTTGGTCTTGCAGCTCTTCTGATGTCTGTGGTGGAGTATCCATTGGCCTGTAGAGCCAAGTTTAGGTGGTTCAGTTCACCTTGGAGGAGGTGATGTTCGCAGATTCTTTTTGCACAGTCTTCCAGGGCTTTAATTATGCTTCTTCTTTTGACTTGGGTGATGGTTGGAGTTTTTATGTAGGTATCTATCTCTGTGTGTAGGTTTTCTGTAAACTGTATGACCCAACTGTTGATCTGGTTTGCAGATGACTAGGACATCAAGAAATGACAGTTTTCCTTAATTTTCTTTTTCCATGGTGAATTGGATATTTGGGTGGATGCTGTTAAGGTGGTCCAGGAACTTGTTTAGTTCTTCTTCTCCATGGCTCCAAATGGTGAAGATGTCATCCACATAGCTGAACCATATAAGTGGGCTTTTTGTTGCTGTTTCCAGGGCTTGAATGGAAGGCACACAACAATAACAATTCTAATTAACTTAACTATCTCATCAGCACAAAGCAGGCCCACACTTCCCTTTGAAATACTGCTAATTAGTTAGAATTGTTCTTCATTTTAAATATTGTATTGTTCTTTCATGTTGTTTTGCATTACAAATAAGATATGTGCAGTGTGCATAGGAAACTATAGTCCAGCTCCCTCACAATCTGAGGGACTATGAACCGGGCCTCTACTTTAAAAGTTTGAAGACCCCTGCTTTAGTATGACTCTGTGTTGTGTCACACCATGGCCTGAAGTGCACAGGTTAGCATAGAAATGGGAGACAGCCATCTTTCTGTGGGCATATAATTGTATTCTCAATTTGCTGATGATGTGATAAATTAATAAATACCCAGGAATGAGGTGCTGGTGTAATACAGATTTGCTGGATTACACCACCCATCATCTTTCATCATTGCTAAGGCTGACGGGTTGCAGCCCAGCTGAGTGCTTGATCTGGAAGATCAAGCAATTCTTGTCATGGTTCCTTCCCACTCTGGATTATATAATCCTTGAGACGATGTGAGTTTTCTGAGCTGTATGGCCATGATCCAGAAGCATTATCTCCTGACGTTTTGCCCACATCTATGGCAGGCACCCTCAGAGGTTGTGAGGTCTGTTGGAAACCAGGCAAGTGAGGTTTATATATTTGTATAATGTCCAGAGTGACAAAAGAACTCTTGTCTGCTTCAGGCAAGTGTGAATGTTTCAACTGACCCCCTTGATTAGTATTGAATAGCCTTGCAGTTTCAAAGCCGGTTGTTTCTTGCCTGGGGGAATCCTTTGTTGAAAAGTTTTAGCTAGCCTTGATTGTTTCTTGTCTGGAATTCTCCTGTTTTTTTTAATGTTGTTCTTTATTAACTGTCCTGTTTTTAAAGGTTTTTTTTTTATTCTGATAGCCAAATTTTGTTCATTTTCATGACAACACATATATAATCCTTTTTGTTGATTATCTTCTGCATCTTGGATTTTATTTTTAAAAAACTGGAATTTTGGGCTGTGCAAAGGATAGAGTTTGAAGGATGCAAGAAGTGGGACTCAAAGGTAGCATGGGAGATTTAACAGGAAAAACATGTAAATTATACCCAGTTTAGTCTTTGCAAAGAAGTATAGCTTTTCTCTGCTTGCTGAAGATCATTTTCAGTCAGATGGTGGGTTCTATCATTTTATAGTTTTTGCAATTTTTCCAGCTCTGGCAACTGAGCAGCAAGAACTGAAGCAGAGGATTATACATGCCATGGCTAATTGATTCTGTCTTTAAAGTGGGATTTCCTCCTATTTATTTTCCACTGGAGAATCTGAAAAGGGGAGAATGGTGTCCCTCCCTCTCTCTCTCTCTCTCTCGCTTTCTTTCTTTTCTTCTATTATTAATAGGAAGGGGTTCCTTCCCAGAACCCAAAGTGAAATTGTTTTGCCATGATGAGGTCTCTGATGTAAACAAATGGACTTTGGTTGCTGGAAGAGAATGCGTGTGTGAAATGGAAATGAGTTCTTTCTTTGGCTTCTTTGCGAGTTTGTCTTGCTTTTATTTGAATTAATTAAGCAAACAAAGAAATGGCAACAGACTATGGTTTCTGGCCTAATCTAGCCTCTATCCCAACCTGATATCCCGTGGATGTGTTGGATGCACACAAATAGCATCTTACTCTTACTTCTTGATGGAACTTTAAATGGTCCTTTGTCTCTATCGTTGCTACACAGATGTTTTTCTTCGATTTAATAAAAGAAAAAATTGAATTATGTGAACAGTGTGAACACATGTGTAAGTATAAATAAATGAAAAAAAAGGAATTTGTGACAGAGTAGATTTGAGCCAAGCTTTCTAAGGACATGTTTAATTCTTCTTGCTATACCAGCTAGCCAGATTATTCATTTTGCCTTCTCACTTTTCACAAAAGTTTCAAGTGTTGTACCCTGGTCAGATTCCGAGTTCTCAGAAAATGAGGAAGGAGATGCTGGGATAGATTCAGAGGGTCCAGAGGAGAATGGAAGCGGCCTAGAGAGAGTTGTTTTGGAATCTCCAGGCAGTTTCCATGAGACTGGTGAAAGTGATATCAGTTCTCATGGGAATCTTCCAGAAGTGCAGGCTGAGAGAAATGTGGGAGATGAATGTTTGTCCTTGGAACTTCAGAGGTAGAGTGTACAACAGAGACAGACTCACTTTTCCCAGCAGCTTAGAGATAAGGAGAGGAAAAGCAGGTGTGTGAGAAATAATGTCATGGGAGGGACTGAGGCCTTTTAAGTGGTTTTCCACTTGTACAATCCTTTGTGAAAGCAACGTTGTATTCAGGTGAACAGTTCTCAATTCCTGGTCCTACATCTTGGGATTCTAAATTTGGTAGTACATGCGCTGGTAACTTCAAAGTTGTACTTCTGCAATATGCTTTGCATTGGGCTACCTCTGGAACAAGTTCAGAAAGCCCAATTAGTTCAAAACAGAGCAGCCAGACTAAGTATAGGAACATCTGGGAATGAGTATATTACACCTATACTACAGTCACTTCACTGGTTGCCAATTAGTTTTCGATCAAAGTACAAGGTGTTGGTTTTGACCTTGAAATACCTACATGGTTGAGGTCAGGATTGTCTTCTCCCATACAATCCGCTCCTTAGGACACTGAGGTCCTTGGGGGTGGGGGGTGGCTACTCCAACCAGCCATAACCCAACTGGTGACCATCACCCAGAGGACCTTTTCATCAACTGCTCCAAGACTGTGGAATGACCTGCCAGAAGAAATCTGGCAGCTAAGCCAACTGTTGAAATTCAAAAGACAATTGAAAACCAGAAGTCAAATTGATTTGGGAATAAGTTGAACCAGATTTTTGGGATAGGTTTTTCCACTAAAAACTTTTAGACTTATACATGAGTATATAACGTATGTTAGATTCTTTCTGTAAAGCCTTGAAAGAGTCTAGTTATGCTTGTCACAGTGAACCCACTAAATAACACATCTACTGGTCCATATACAGACACAATCTGTTCAATCCAGGGTGAGATCTTGAAGTCGAAAAGTGGATGGGCCAATTCGAAGAGGGGATCCCTCTCAACATCCTCCCAGAATTCTCACTTATAACAATTGTTTTGTTCTTTTTTTCTTTGCCAATCAGGCCGGGTCTTTGTCCACTGTCGCGAAGGCTACAGCCGCTCCCCAACACTGGTCATCGCTTACCTCATGCTCCGGCAGAACATGGATGTCAAGTCCGCCGTCAGTGCCGTCCGTCAGAAGCGGGAGATTGGTCCCAATGATGGCTTCCTGAGACAGCTCTGTCAGCTCAATGAGAGATTAGTGAAGGAAGGGAAGCTGAAGAAACCGTAGCAGGGGCCCGGCTCTGTTCCCACTCTGCACACCCTCCCTAGAACTCTTCTGTTAGTATTATTTTCTGTTGACAGCTCCAACTGCCAGGCTGCCGAGGAGGCAGGAGAAACGTCCTGCTTCATCCACTTTGGGCCAGGAAGGGGCTGGTATTTCTTTATTTTAAATAGACACCCAGAGAGTTCTTGCAATATTGAGACACGCTTAATGGTGGACTCCCACCTTCTCCTGTCAGGCTATGGTTTGTCTCCTGTCTTATTTTAGAGCCTGCCCAATATATTGTGTGTGTGTGCGTGTGCGTGTGCGTGTGCGTGTTTTGTTTGGATGCACTTTGCAACACAGTTCTGAATGCTTCTCTTTTCTTAATTTCACTTTGCCTGCTCACCTCTATCACAGCTAGTCCTCATTTCCACCCTGTCATTTGCTGTGTCCTGAGAATTCTTCAGGTAGACTCCCTTTTCTCCCTCTGAGGTTTAAATGAGGACTTTTTTGTTTTTTAGAGCCAAGGGCTGCCCCGCTACCTGGCTACCAATATGTGCCAAATGTGATGGCTTAAGAGAGGTTTTCAGAGCAGATAGTCCCATCACATAGTCCCATATGATCCATGCCTAGTTTCCATCTGAGTTCTCGGCTGGGCTACTCCTAGTTGTCAAGAGGCAGTGGAGACAGGGCCGTAGCCAGAAAAATTTTTTGGGGAGGTTGACAATTTGGGGGGGGGGGGTGAAAATTTCGGGGAGGGGTTGAAAATTTGGGGGGGGGGTTGAAACCTGCCTCCTAGCTCACGCTGAAGCAAAGAGCACAGCAGGGGGCAGAGCAGCCTTCAATAGCCTGCAGCTCTGCCCTTGTCAACCACCTCCACCAAGTCTGGCCTCCTTAATGAGAGCATTCAACACCCTTCCCAACTTGGTTGCTTCGCTACATCGGCTATTGCTGCAAGTAATCACAGTGTGACTAAATTGTCAATATTTGCTTGAGATAGTGCTTGCAGTTCTGGAGGGACTCTTAATTTTGAATCTCATAGACTTAGCATGGGATTTGGTTAACCAGTTAAAATTCATGAGTAAACCAGGTTTTTTAAATCTGAAACATTTCGGGGGGGGGGTTGAACCCCTAAAACCACCCCCTCGCTACAGGCCTGAGTGGAGATATGGTGCTCCTGAAATGTAGATACCAGACAAGCAAGCCAATTGGATCTGAGCTTCTGACTCTTATTCTAGTGGCAGGTCACTTGTGGATACAACTCCACAAATGCAGGCTCCTGGGAGGTATTCAAAGCAGATAGTCCCAACTGATTGAGCTAGTCTGATTTGATGCACCCCTTCAGTGTGTGCCACTGTGTTGTGGAATCATGATTTTGAGTTGGACGATATTTAGAGGTTGCCTGCTCCAGTCCCTTGCTTCTTGGAGAAAGCTGCAATAACAAGATATCCTTTTTTGTGTCAGGAGCAACTTGAGAAACTGCAAGTTGCTTCTAGTGTGAATGAATTGGTTGTCTGCAAGGATGTTGCCCAGGGACGCCCAGATGTTTTACCATTCTGTGGGAAGCTTCTCTCATGTCCCTGCATGGGGAGCTGGAGCTGACAGAAGGAGCTCAACCCACTCTCCCAATAATAATAATAATAATAATAAACCTTTATTTATACCTTGCCACCATCTCCCCAAAGGAGACTCGGGGCAGCTAACATGAGGCCAAGCCTGAAAATAATACAGCAAAATAGAAACAAAACAACAGAATACATAAAGTAATAGAATAAAACAAACAGTGCAAGATAACATAATAAAAAATCAAGCACAAAGGGCGGGCCAAATGCACAAGCTAAAATGTTAAAACCCTGGATGAGATAGGAATAAAAGAGTGTATAAAATGTGTATTTATAAGGGAGGAGCCCAAGAAGAGGGAGCAATGGGGTTTGGCCTTTATTAAGGACAGGGGAAAGTGCATCATGAGGACAACTGTAGATGAAAACAAAAAAACCACTGTTGGTCAGCAGTCCTGCCGGCACAAGGGTTTGACCCATTGCATCACTGGGGGTTCCATACAAGATATGCTGATAGATGGACATGTAGCCTATGACTATATTATTTTACTGAAGGATAGCCCAGTACCTCCAAAATCTCTTCCACAAGCAAATGACTCTTACCATTAGGATATTCATAGTAATGTTTTGTCAGATTCCTTTTCCCTGCAATTTCCACTCATTAATTCTAACCTTGTCTCTGAGCAATAGAAAATTCCATCCACTCAATTCTTCCCTCAATAGCTCTTCAGATGTAAAATATCAATCAGGGATAATTGATTTTAGTAGCCAATTGAGAACTTGGTCATCAAACTCAATAGCAGATCTATCAAAGTCTAATCTTGTTTCCAAAACAAATCCAATAAGATTTTACTAACGTATACCTCTCTGCCCCTGATTTTAATCTGGTAGTCCTATTAGTGATGTTCTCATTCTTAAAGCATTTATTCTGTATCTGTATTTCCTGCATGGGAACTAAAACTGCTGTTGAGAGAGCATAGCATTGAATGTGAGGAGGGACATGATCCTTCCAGAACTTCCGATTTAACCCCTTCTACTTGTCCATTTTTTAAAAGCATTACTATTGCCTTTTCACATGTCTCCTTTCTCATTGCTCCTGCTTGAAGCGTGGCACCTCAGAGCATCACAAGACGGGGCATTCTTGTTGCTTCAGTACACAAAAATCACTCTCACTTGTAACCATGTAATCTTTCTGTATAACTCCGTGTCTCATAGAAATCTGTGGATATATAAAATATATAGTAATCTGGTATATATTTATATATAGATATATATGCACACAAGCAATGATAAAGCCATTTGAAAATGTGCCATTAATGCAAATAACCTTTTGTATATATTGTTGATAGCGAACATGTTCATGTTTGGGGTTTTAGAAGCACTTCTTAAGGCCAAGTCCTGAGACTTTGCTTCTGGCTCCTTGTGGTGAGATTGGACAGTATTTACCCGAATTCAAGATGTCAGCTGCTGCTTACCTGTTGACACTTAATAAGAGGTGTTAACTATCTGCTTCTTCTGGTCTAGTTTTTTGTTAATAATGATAATAATAATTTTAAAATTAGGCAAAAGAAGCTGATGTATACAGATAGTCAACTGGTATAATTTAATATGTTGTCAAAGGCTTTCATGGGCAAAATCACTGGGTTGTTGTGAATTTTCCAAGCTGTATGGCCATGTTCCAGAAGCATTCTCTCTTGATTCACCCACATCTATGGCAGGTGCCCCCTGGTGGCGCAGCAGGTTAAACTGAGCTGCTGAACTTGCTGACTGAAAGGTTGGTGGTTTGAATCTGGGAAGCGGGGTGAGCTCCCTCTGTTAGCTCCAACTTCTGCCAACCTAGCAGTTCAAAAATATGCAAATGTGAGTAGATCAATAGATACCGCTCCGGCGGGAAGTTAACGGCATTCCATGCAGTCATGCTGGTCATATGCTGGTCATATGACCTTGGAGATGTCTATGGACAATGCCGGCTCTTTTGCTTAGAAATGGAGATGTGCACCACCCTCAGAGTCAGACACAACTAGACTTAATGTCAGGGGAAGCCTTTACCTTTTTATGGCAGGTATCCTCAAAGATAGTGAGGTCTGAGGATGCCTGCCATAGATATGGGTGAAACGTTAGGAGAGAATGATTCTAGAACATGACCATACAGCCTGGAAAATTCACAGCAACCTGATATAATTTATTTTATGAACGAAAAAACAACAACAAAAAACATGAAATACAGGGATGTTAAGAAGGAGTTAAGTTGTGAATGAATGTGCAAACCATTCTTCGTTTGAGTAAAAACATTTCCACCCCTTATTTGCTCCATGATACAGTTGAGCAGCAATGCCTCAAAAGAGATGTACATTTCTAAGAATTTTATTTTTCTTAACTGTTGCCTCTAGCCTGCAGAAAAAAAGGAGAAACTATTGGAAAGTATTCCTCAAATAGTTTTGGTTAATATATATTATTTGTATATATATTAATGCACAATCGTATATACTAATATATGTGTATATATTAATATACCAGTCTTTTGCAACTCCAGTAACGTGGGTTTCTTTTGTTCCCATTCTGCAGAAGATGAACTGAAGCTAACAGCTATTGCATTATCTCAGTTGTAGATGTATTCTGCAAACATATGAAATACAGGAATGTCTGTGAATGTATTGGCTGAAGCAGATATTTAAATGGAGAACAGTTTGTGAGGAGTAATGCTAAACATAGCAAACTATGTAATATTTTTCTTTCAAAAGCTAAACCCATAATACTTTGTTTGGAGCCCTGTATTGCGTGTGAATATTCTCTGGGAATGTGTGGGGTAGCACCCCACTTCTTTAAAGCCTGATTTCTGGGCTGTATGACTATATGCCTAAGACTTTGTGTTTGAGTGCACAATTTCCTGGTACACTTTTTAAATAAGATGACCACTGCCAAGCCCTTGCCACTTCCACTGCCTTGTTTCTTGCTATCTTTTTCAGTAAAAGGCCAGGTATCTTCCTCATCCCAAAGAAGAAAGTTTAGATTGGCAGATATAGGCGGTTAGTGGCAACTCTAGGCTAAAAGGATCTTGCTTAGCCAAGACTGTGGGGAGCTACTGCCAGTTGGACTAGAATGCTCTGAATAGTGTCCAGACTTGCAGTAACAGTAGCCAGACTTGATGTAAAGCCAGCTTGATGCATTCCTAATGGAAGTTTGGTCTTGGTGTCTCTTAAAATCCTGCCCATAAATCTCTTTCCTCAACAGAGAAATGTTATCCCTATACACATTTTGTTTAGGAGTATGTCCTTTTATCAATGTGGGTGTTGATTGTGCTTTTCCTGCATGGCAGGGGGTTGGACTAGATGGCCATATGGTCTCTTCCAACTCTATAATTCTAGGAAAGGCTTCTCTGAGGAAATATAGTTTGTGTAATCTATGTGGAGGTTGAGTATCCCTTATCCAGAAATCCCAAATGCTTCAGAACCATCCATGCAGATGTCCGAGATAGTGACAATTCTGCTTTCGGATTGTTCAAATGATTTAACTTTGTTTTATGCACAAATTATTACAAATGCTGTGCAATAAATTAACTTCAGGTGATGTATATAAGAAACATTAATAAGCATTGTATTTAATTCTTTTTTTTTACAACATTTCTTATTGTTTTAACTTTACAATATCTTGCTTACACTTAATTTTCATTGGTGCTCATATTTATACACACTTCATTTCCATGTAACATTGCTTTTATCTTCACCCTCTCTTTTAATAATAATCATCATCATCATCCCAGATGACAGCAGGATTGCAGAGAAACAACTGGAAAAGCTGGCACGATATGAGGATTTAAAAATCGAAGTGCAAAGACGCTGGCACAAACCAGTAAAGGTGTTCCCAGTGGTGATCAGCACACTGGGTGCAGTGCCTAAAGACCTTGGCCAGCACTTAAACACAATCGGCGCTGACAAAATTACCATCTGCTAGCTGCAGAAGGCCACCTTACTGGGATCTGCACGCATTATTCGCCGATACATTACACAATCCTAGACACTTGAGACATGTCCGACGTGTGATCCAATTCAACAGCCAGTAGAGTGTCTGCTGTGGACTCATCTTGTTGTGTTAATAATAATAATAATAATAATCTTTATTTATACCCCGCCACCATTTCCCCAATGGGGACTCGGGGTGGCTTACATGAGGCCAAGCCCAACAGCATATTACAATAAAATAAAAACCAAAGCACAAAACAACAACACAGCAAAATACATAAAACTTATGAGTACAGTAAGCAATATAAAAATACAATACAAAATCATTCACAATCACAATCACAATGAGCGGGCCGCATGTGCAAGATAAAATACTAAAAACTCAGGGTGAGATAGGAATGGAGCAGATTATTTGTGAGGGAGAAGCTCCTAAAGAAATGGGATCATAAAAAAACAGGCCTTCATACAGTGGGGGGAAGTATACTACAGGAACAAAAATGTTGAGGGGGAGCAACAGTTTATAGTTGTATGACTGCTCTCCAAAAGCGCAATGGAAAAGCCAGATTTTGAGATCTTTCTTGAAGATTTCTAAGGTAGGGGCTTGCCTAATCTCACTGGGCAATGAGTTCCAGAATCGGGAGGGGGGACATAGAGGAGAAGGATCTCCCTTATTATATACTTCCTTCTCTTTTAAAAAAAAAAAGGGGGGGGGAGGAGAAAAATAGGGGGAAAGGGAGGAGATAGGTGACACCTAATACCACATACTTCACCCTCTAGACCTCTCTTTACTTACTCTTTTCTCATATTATAACAACATCAACAAAAAACTTTAATTTATTCTTCAAAACTCAGAATTGGCAAATCCTTTTCTTCATGCAAAAAGTGAATAAAAAAGTTTCCAGTCTTCTAAAAAATGTTTTCAATGACCCTTCTTTTAGTAGACATGTTAGTTTGTCCATTTCTGCCAAGTCCATAATTTTTGTTATCCATTCCTCTGTTGTTGGTATTGTTGTTCTCTTTCTGTGCATAGAGTAGTCTGGCTGCTGTGGTCATATATTGTCATGGTCTATCCTGGTTATTTTTATCAGTCAGCACATATACTAAAATTGGAACGATACAGAGAAGATTAGCATGGCCCCTGCGCAGTCTGACCAAGTAGAAAAGTCTCTGGTTTTGGTTGGATGCTCCCCCCTAAAATTTTCTGGATCACTGTGTGTATTTGAATCCGATATTTCTTGGTATGTTTACATGTCCACCACATATGATAGAAGGACCCTACATGTTGTTTACATTTCCAGCAAATATTGGAGATCTTTTAGAGCTTTTCAGGTGTCATATACCACTGGTACATCACTTCATAGAAATTCTCTTTCAAGTTATAACATAACATGAATTGTAAGTAGATCAATAGCCCTTTAGTCCACGTTCTCCCCATTTTCCAACATTATATTGTGCCCCATATTTTGTGCTCACTTAATAATAATAATAATAATAATAATCTTTATTTAATACCCTGCCACCATCTCCCCAATGGGGACTCAGGGCGGCTTACATGAGGCCAAGCCCAGCAGCATATTACAATAAAATAAAACAGAAACACAATAGCAGCACCATAAAATACATACAACATATGAATACAAAAAAAGCTAAAGCAAAATCATATACCATAAAATAACAATGAATCATTCATTATTTAACTTGCTCATCTGCAATTTCCCATTTCAATAACATTTTGTACATTTTAGCAATTAAATGTTCATCATTCATACATAATTGTAACTCAAATTCTGATTTGCTTATTTCAAAACCAACTGACTGCTTGTCTTGTCTGAATCTCTCCATTAACTGTATTTCAGCTTGGGTCCCATCTCTAAGACATCTATCTTATTATGTATATGCAAATATTCCAAAAATCGGGACTCCAAAACACTTCTCCAAAGCAATTTCAGATAAAGGATGCTCAACTTATTCCTTCAAGTTGTTTGTTGATTTATAGTAATTGCATACATTTCGTAAGGACTTTTAGACAAAAGACTATTCAGAGGTGCTTTGCCAGTTCTTTCCTCTGAAGTATGGCCTATGCCGCCTCTTATTTGTTGGCGGTCTCCCATCAAAGCCTCAGCCAGGACTGACTTAGCTTTCAAGATCCGGTGCCTTTGAGGTATTTAGGCAGAAAATAGTTTAGAGTAGAAGAAAGGAACGTCAGAGCTGTGCCTAAGGTAGACAAAGAAGGCTCCCCAATTAGTTTGCATAAGCAACCAATGAAGCCCTTTCTTGAAGTCCTGCTATCTCTGATTACTGATAGAGAGGTAGCACAGATTTCCTTCTATTCTTTGTTCTGCCTCCCTATTTGCAAGAAGGGAAATGGGAGGAGCAGCAAAACTAGGTCCCTGACCAAAGTGCCAAATGGAATAAATCCACCCACTGTTTTGGCTGAAGATCCAATGATAAAGCAGAGCATATGTCCAGACTATTAGCTGCCATCTAGCCCCTGGATGCCTATAAGTGGATAGGTGGGTGGGAGAGGATCTGCTTTCCTTGCAAATAAGACTCCCCAGCCCTATTTTACAGTATCCTGCCTGTGATATTTGGGCACTGGCAGCGACCGCTTCTGTGCTTTGCAATTGCCTTTTGATAGAGTCAAAAATCTGCTACAATCTAGTGGATGTCAGAGGACTTTGCGTTCACCTAAGTGGGTGACTGACCAAACACTTATGAGCTGATGGATTTTAGGGTGGCATATACTCCGGGGGGGGGGGGGGGGGGGGGAAGGGTGAACATCCAGTTGACACTACCCTTACGAAAGAGGTGGGCAATGAGTTACCAGACGAATGTGTACTGTTGTCTTTTACATTAGGTGGGTTGTGTGTTTGTGTTTTGGCATTTGCAATAGGGAAAACAATGCACAATTGTCCAATAAAGTCTTATTCTGTGTGGCATTCTACTGTTGCGATGTGTGGTCTTTGTTCTAAGGGGGATGTGCACCAAGCTCAAACATTTGGCCCTCCAGAGATTTTTGAATCCCTCAGTTCCCATCAGCCTCGCCCAGCCTGGTTTTTTTTTTTTTTCATGTTAGGAGCAACTTGAGAAACTGCAAGTCGTTTCTGGTATGAGAGAATTGGCCATCTGCGAAGACGATGCCCAGGGGATGCCCAGATGTTTGATGTTTTACCACCCTTGTGGGAGAGCTGGAGCTGACAGAGGGAGCTCATCCGCAACCTGTCAGTCTTCAGTCCTGCTGAGACAAAGGTTTAACACAGTATGCCACCAGGAGCACCCAGCCTGGCTAATGGTGAAGGGGAGTGGGAGCTGTAGTCTAAAATAGGTCTTCTTAAACTTTTCCATTCGGGACTCCCTTTGGCCCAATTTTTTTATGTGACCTCAGGTATATAGATATATAAAATAGGCATAAAAATAAAACATTTATGATTTTTAAAAACATCTGCAAGGCTTGCTAAACAGGCTGATTTTCCTTTTTATGAAGCATAGCTGAAGCATCTTCTGCAAAGTCCATTGTAAACACTCCACAACAGATTTTTGCAAATGTCTACAATAGCTACTAAGTGATGTTCAGAAAAAAAGGTTGGGATCCCAACATTGAGACCCCACTGGGTCAAGACCCACAGTTTAAGAAACACTGGTCTAGACACTGATCTAAAACATTTGAAGGGCCAAGTGTTCTTCGCCTCCCTAGGCTCTCGGTAGCCTTAGTACAGGTACAGTATTTGTTGTTGTCAGCTGCCTTCAGGTTGACTCTATGAATGAGAAACTTCCAAGTCACCCTGTCATCAATACCCCAGTTCAGGTCTTGCAGATTCAGGGCTGTGAATTCCTTGACTGAGCCTATCCACCTGGAATTTGTTTTCCTCTTCTAGTGACTTCAACCTTACAAAGCATTATTGTTTTTTCTAGTGTACCATAGCTTCTCATGATATGTCCAACTGATGAAAATCCCAGTTTAGTTATCTTGGTGTCTAGTGCAGGCATGGGCAAACTTTGGCCCTCCAGGTGTTTTGGACTTCAAATCCCATAATTCCCAATGGCCAGTAGGCTGTTAGGAATTGTGGGAGTTGAATTCCAAACACCTGGAGGGGCGAAGTTTGGCCATGCCTGGTCTAGTGAGTTTTGATGCTTGATTTGCTCTAAAATCTATTTATTTGTCTCCTTAAGCAATTCAGGCTATCCACAGAATGCTTATCCAGCACTACATCTCCTATCAGCTTTCCCCCCCACTTTTCAGTGTTCACAAACATATATAGAAATAAAAAACTTGTTTGCCAGTTGTGCCTGTACCTTGGGAAGTCTGAGTTGGCCAGGGTAGTCCACGTTCTGATTACTTTCTGAATAGACTACTGCAATGCACTCTATGTGGAGCTGCCTTTGAAGACTGTTCAGAAGCTACAAATGGTCCAGTGGGTGACAACCAGATTGCTCACTGGAGCAGTGTATGGGGAGCATAGGTGTTACTGAACTTAAAAGTTCCAATAGCCCTAAGTTGGGACAGCCAATAATGAGGAACACTGAGAATTGTGTAGACAGACCTCCCAGGAACATCTGCGTTTTTAAAATGTAGATGGTTCTGGGATAAAGGCCAGTCTGGAACCGCCCTGAGTCCACACAGCCATATATTCCAGTTCAAAGCAGATAATGTGGAATTTTATTTATTTATTTACTTATTTATTGTGTCAGAAGCAAACTGAAAATATAGTTACAATGTATTTAAAAACAATGTAGTTAAAAACTTGGCATTATACTAAATTTCCTTTGACCAGAAGCTGGCCACTTCAAGTGCCTCTGGTGTCACTGTACGAAGGTCCTTCATTGTGCATGTGGCAGGGCTCAGACTGCATTGTAGTAAGTGGTCTGTGATTTGCTCTTCTCCACACTCGCATGTCATGGACTCCACTTTGTAACCCTCTGCGGCTTAGAGAGAGTGGGACTTGCCCAAAGCCACTCAGTGTATTTCATGGGCAAGCAGGAATTCAACCCTGGTCAACTGAGTTGTAATTCAGTTCCCAAACAGCTCCACCAGGCTGGTTCTTTCCAAGGTCACTCATGCACCTTAAAATAATGGTTTTCTGCTGTTCCTTTCTCCTTGCTGTACAGAGTAGCTATTGTTGCAGCCACAATTTTTGCCCACCAGATGGTGATACAGTTCTTTTCTTGGTCATCAGGCACAGGTTGATGCCTCTTCACTTTTAAGATGCTCAATACCTAAATAGATTTTGAATTTACAGTCTCAGCCCTGATGCCATCTCCCAGAATAGGCTGCCATCCAATCAAAAGTTGCAGACCAAGTACACCTAATAGAAATCCCTTTACACAGTATGGTTTGGAGAAGGCAACGTACACACTTGCATGCCGCTTTATGTAGTCTTGTGGAGATCCTCAGGGTTCAGTACTGTCCCCGATGTTATTTAACATCTAAATGAAGTCGCTGGGAGATATCATAGAATCATAGAATCAAAGAGTTGGAAGAGACCTCATGGGCCATCCAGTCCAACCCCCTGCCAAGAAGCAGGAATATTGCATTCAAATCACCCCTGACAGATGGCCATCCAGCCTCTGTTTAAAAGCTTCCAAAGAAGGAGCCTCCACCACACTCTGGGGCAGAGTGTTCCACTGCTGAACGGCTCTCACAGTCAGGAAGTTCTTCCTCATGTTCAGATGGAATCTCCTTTCTTGTAGTTTGAAGCCATTGTTCCGCGTCCTAGTCTCCAGGGAAGTAGAAAACAAGCTTGCTCCCTCCTCCCTGTGGCTTCCTCTCACATATTTATACATGGCTATCATATCTCTCTCAGCCTTCTCTTCTTCAGGCTAAACATGCCCAGCTCCTTAAGCCGCTCCTCATAGGGCTTGTTCTCCAGACCCTTGATCATTATAGTCACCCTCCTCTGGACACATTCCAGCTTGCCAATATCTCTCTTGAATTGTAGTGCCCAGAATTGGACACAATATTCCAGATGTGGTCTAACCAAAGCGGAATAGAGGGGTAGCATTACTTCCCTAGATCTAGACACTATGCTTCTATTGATGCAGGCCAAAATCCCATTGGCTTTTTTTGCATCACATTGTTGGCTCATGTTTAACTTGTTGTCCACAAGGACTCCAAGATCTTTTTCACATGTACTGCTCTCGAGCCAGGCATTGTCCCCCATTCTGTATCTTTGCATTTT